CACCAAATGGAGGACAGAGATGTTCCAACCAGCAGCTCAGCTGACCAGATGAAAGTAGAAGCTGATGGAGAGGACTGTGGAGGAGCAGAAACCAGCAGGAACCCAGATCTAAATCCTCATGGAGATGCTTCCAGCTTTTCTGAGACTGAATTCAGTGCGGACGATGAAGAGGATGAGGATGGGAACAATCCTGACTCTCAACACTTCTGTGGAATCACCAACATGGGTATAACAAAGAAAAATACTTTTTGTATTTTAGTCTGTAGGTGACCTTAAAATACCTTTTTAAAAATAACAATTACTGGTACTTTAATTAGTAAAAGACCAAAAATGACCTAGAGACATTATTCCATTGACACAGCTCTAAATTAAAACAAACAAACAAAACTTACCCAAAAAAAATTAAACACAAATGGACAGAAGTTGCTGAATTTTTTTCAGGCACATGAGATGCTGACATTTTGAAAACTTTGCTCAAACACAATCCAGAATGGGGGGAAATGTCCATTTCTGCTCAAGTATAGAAAAAAAGAAATTGACATGTTTTCAAAAGGTCCCAGAATCCATCCCTTTGCATTTCTGGCTTGAAAGTTTGCAAACAAAAATGTTGTTTTTTGTAAATCAAAGTCTTCTTTTTTTTTCAGAACATACACTTTAAACAACAACAATAAAAAATAAAATAAAAGCAAAATTCCCTCCCACACCGGATTAGCCACACAGACGAGCACACACCAGAGAGGCATTTATGACATCTATACATTAATATCTGCTGACAACACTTTCAATATAAGATATATATTTGGCTGCCAAGTGTCCCACAATCTGAACAGATCTTTTCACAGTATTTCTATTCTTTTCCAAATTAATATGACACAGCTTCTTTTAAACAGTGTTCATATGTCGGGGGATGTGGATCCTGCCCTCTGCATAAAATAAGTCTAGTCTCCTGGCTAGAAGAGAGCCAAAAGCAATCATATTCCTTATGTACTTGCTAAAGAATGCATCCCCAAGGACCACCCCAAACAATGAAATGAATTGTGACAGGTACACAGTTTTTTTCATATATTCCAGAGAAAGTATCAACAACAGAATTGTAAAAGTCCAGAATGTGTGTAAGAGCAGCTAGAGTTTGTTTACAGTGGTTACATGGAGGATCCAGGTCAGTTTTAATCTTGGGCAGTTTGTCTTTGGACCAATGCAAACCACAGTCTGCATTGAATTACAGCACATCTCAGGCAGATTGAGGATGAACAAATGTTCTGAATGATCTTTGGCCATACTGAGTCTGATAGGGATTCCTCAAAGTCCATTTCAGTTTAAGAGGGCCCAAGCTGGTCTCAACGTATGAACTGAGCAGTGTATAAATCTTAAGGGTTGCCTTAGTGTATCTTAACCACAAAAAGTTTAGAGGTTTACAAAGGAAAACAGTCGGTTAGAACTAAAAAGGTTAAACTTTGTCATCTGGACCAGTTTAAGTGAGAAACGTTTTGTCCCCCATCCAGAGGACTTTCTCAGTCTATGGCCTGCCAACCAGATCTGTCCCATAGGTAGCCTTCACTGCTACCTATGGGACAGATCTGGTTGGCAGGCCGTAGACTGAAGCATAGGGCTGGGTACATTTCTAAAAATTCTGTACCAGTACCTTCACTTCGGTATCGGTTCCTGAACTGTACTTTTTTTGGTACCAATTTTATAATTAATATTAATTCTAACAAAGAAAATTACGTTACACATTACAGTACAAATTGTGAGTTTTATTCTTTAGCTTTGGTATTTTTCCATTCCAAGTAGTTTTCTTAAATAAAAATAAACAATTTTCTGGTCAAAATAACAGTTTCAAACCAGTGACATGTCACTGTCTAATGCTCACTGCTACATACTTTTCACTTATGTTGATTTTTCTGAAGAAAAACTGCTGTCTGCTTTCTCTGGACACAAACCCATCCGCTCCTGGCTGATGGTGTCTCCAGCAGTGGAAAATGTTTGCTCTGAGGGTGTGGATGATGCTTGCACACAGATAGCTGGTTGCCAAGTTTGATAGCATCAGCATAGTGTCCCTCACATTCCACCAGCAGGTCACTGGATTCACTGAAGTTAGGGTTGATGGCAGACTTCTGTACTTTTTGTATCTCTTCCTGAATCTTCTCTGTGGTTCTCTGGAGTTTAGGGCTCTTTATCATCTCCCCAATTGACATTAGAACACAAAACATCAACAATAACATGGTTGTGTTATTATTTCTCAAAAAACATTATCTAGGCTGAGAGATAAAGGCTTAACTAGTCAATAGGGGTGCACCGATTTATCGGCCCCGATTTCCTTAATTTTGGGAAATTGGCCAATACTTGTATGAGAAACCGATTTTACAGATTTTTATGTTTTAACAACAATTGTCTGAACTTCATTTATATTTCAGAGCACTATCTCATGGCCAGTTAAAACAAGTTTGTATTGTTTCTAGGATATTGTTCAAGGGTATGTTTTTCAACAAAATAAGATTGAAAATTGAAGGTGCATTGTGACCTTATAACACCTGACGGTGTTGATTATAAAACAAAATCGGTATCGGCCAAAATCAGAACCTGCAGGTGAGACTTTATAGAAATCTGTGATCGGCCAGAAAACTGCAATCGGTGCACCCCTACTGGTCAACAATATCCTTTTCAGCTTACTTTCTTCCTCCATGCAGCCTCCACTGTAGAAAAAGGCAGCAAACTTTTAACAACAAAGTTTGTGACTGTCCTGTGGCCCTCATCTTGCTTTTATTTTGTCCTCCTCACATCAGGGTCAGAGGCTCCTGAGAGAACAGAAACGGTGAACATTATGTGAACTGTTTAACCAGCTGACCATGGATGAGCACATTTTTGCAAACTAAGGTTTATCTGTTACTGTCAATCTTTAGTTAGCTTTTGATTTTAGCTAGCTACACAGATAGCCATAAAATAAAGCCACACTAATAACATCTTAACCCTCCTGTCGTGTTCGGGTCAAATCGGACCAATTTACAACTTAAAACACTGATAAATATTGTGTTTTAGATCTGATTGCCTCAAGGCCTTATGATATCCTCCACACTATGCACTTGAACATATAAAAGTGATTATCACCTTTTTCATTGAATTTTGAGTGTTTTAATCAACATTGTTATACCTGTGGTGTTCCCAGTCAGAAGTGACCGCCATAGGAAATGAATGGGTATCCAGACTATTTTCATCCATCAGACAGAAAACATCCCAATACACACCACCCAACTCACTCACTCACACATTTCAGACTGAACAATGTCTTTTGCAGGTACACATCTCTTTCCCGCGCTTATGTGCCGATCCTCCCACGTTAACCAACTTCCTGGTGAAACGATGTATCACGTCCAAAAAAGTTCAATCTGGTCCTCTGGACATTCAAAAAAAAAAAAATATATATATATAGAAACGTTTCGTCTCTCATCCAAGAGACTTCCTCAGTCTGAGGAAGACTGAGGAAAGTCCACCCAGAAAGACCCCCGGACCGGGATTTGAACAGAAAAATCTGGTCGAGAGGCGGCAGCTCTATCAACTGCGCCACCTGCCAGCCCAAATATCTTCTTTGTTAAGTGTGTAAAACTCTTGATTTATTGTTTGCTTTCCTTCCCTCCACTGACCACAGTGACGTTATTTACATGAACGCTCCTACAAGCACCCTGCAGATGTTGGACGCTGTCTATCATGGTGCGCTAAGATTCATAACTGGCTGTGATTATCGTACCCACCACTGCACCCAGTATTCACTGGTTAACTGGTCATCATTAACTTCACACAGACTCTCTCACTGGTACAGTTTCATCTTTAAATCTTGGTCTGCTGCCTTCATACATCTCCTCCTACATGTCTCTGAGTGAGTGCAGCTACAGCGTGCGCTCTCAGGACATCATTACCTGCAGTGTTCCCTCAATGAGGACTGAACTAGACAAAAGGGCCTTCTCCTATTCCGCTCCTGTTTCCTGGAACATCTTACAAAAAGATCTGAAGCTCTCGACCTTGACCTCTAAGTGGCTTCAAAACATCTGGTAGTTCATGGCAAAAACCAACGCAGACATGTTCCTGTTTTTAGTTTTCTACGTTCACCATATAATCTAGCTGTTTCTGCCATCTTATTTTAATTTGTATTAAAAAAATGTAAAAAAAGAAAATTTGTATGCCTCTTTTATGATTGTCTATTGTTTTCATCACTCTGTTGAAATCAGGTCTCTCTTGTAATTGAGTCCCCGAGGCTCAATGGGATTAACCTGTAGAAATAAATGTTGAATTAATTTATCCTTGATGATATTAGTTTGGATAGGATATCTCCAAACTGAGTATTGTTAAGAGATAAAAACAGCCTTCTGCTTCTTGATCTAATATTTAGTTTCTACATCTTGTCCACCTTAGCGCTAGCTTCTGTTAGCATGCTAAACTACAAACAGATAACACATTTAGTTAAAAATATAAATCCATCAACTACCTAGAAACCACAGCTAGCCAACATCGTCTGATGCTGAATGAAACAAACAAACCTGCGCTCATTTTCTCTCCAACTCGACAGTTCCTCTTCGTAATCTGAGATTATTCCTTCAAAAAGACCCGATGTTTCTCCGCAGCTTCCTCCAGTCTGTTGGACCCGCTGTCTCCACGGTTTTACTCCTCGGTGAACTTAGTTCTAGGTTGGATCTTCGACACATTCACTCCGTGGATTCAGCGGTGTCTTCGACCCGTTTCACCCGCTGCTGGCAGCGAGATTACGGTCAGAACTCCTCCGCGCGCTCCCTCCTCCTGAACGCTGGTTCTTTTAGGGACCGTCAACAAATTACTGAACGAATCAAATAAACAAAACAAAAAAAAACTACATCTCAAGTCAGAACATCAGGTAATGCTGAATTGTTTCACTAGCCTGGACAAATAAGACTCAGTCACTTTTATCTTTTTTTTTTTATAATGTCACCTTTGTATATATTTATTTTATAAAAAATGAAGTATTTTTCATTCAACCTTTATTTCTACAGGTAAATCCCATTGAGCCTCGAGGACTCATTTACAAGAGAGACCTGATTTCAACAAAGAATGATGACAACAATGGACAACAGCGACAACAATAAACAGTTATAAAAAGTCATACTTTTTTTTTAACAAATAGGATGGCTAAAAAAGTAACAAAAACCAACTAGATTCTAAGGTATTACCAATTGCATCCCTCTTTTGTGACAATTCAACCTTTATTTGTAAAAGTGAATTTTGCAAAGTGAATCAATGTATATTATTGCACTATTAAACAAATGTAGAATTTCAAATGCTAAAGTTTTTGTGATGTCTTTGCTGTATTTTTTTAACCAATAGATGGTGGTAAAGGTTGTCCCACTGTGAGCAGAAGAAAAAAATTCAGTTCTACTGCCTGTCTTTTTTTTAATTAGTTTTTTAAGACAAATGTATCAAGTAAAACTTATATGACATGGCATATATCAAGTATGACAAGACAAAAAAATGATAAAATACAATGGGTCAAGAAAAAAGGGAGAAAGTCCATTTTGGTGGCCTTTGGATTCCTTCTCTGCTCTTTGCAGATGATGTGGTCCTGTTGGCGTTATCGTGCCGTGACCTTCAGCTCTCACTGGAGCAGTTCGCAGCCGAGTGCGAAGCGGCTGGGATGAGGATCTGCACCTCCAAATCTGAGGCCATGGTTTTCAGTTGGAAAAGGGTGGTTTGTTCTCTTTGGGTCGAGGGTGAGGTTCTGCCTCAAGTGGAGGAGTTCAAGTATCTCAGGGTTTTGATCACGAGTGAGAGAAGAATGGAGCGTGAGACTGACAGATGGATTGGTACAGCGTCTGCAGTATTGCACACTCTGTGCTGGTCCGTTGTGGTGAAGAGGGAGCTGAGATGTAAGGCAAAGCTCTTTGTTTACCTGTGTTACCTGTTGTTTTGTCTGTACAGCACTTTGGTTGGCCTTGTAGCTGTTTTAAGTGCTTTATAAATAAAGTGGTATGGTATGGTTTACCGGTCAGTTTACGTTCCTTCCCTCATATGGTCATGAACTCTGGGTAGTGACTGAAAGAACGAGATCATCCATGGATACAGGCGGTTGAAATGAGTTCCTCCACAAGGTAGCTGGACTTTCCCTTAGAGACAGGGTGAGAAGTTCAGTTAGCTGGGAGAGACTCGGAGTAGAACCGCTGCTCCTCCACATCGAGAGGAGCCAGTTGAGGTGGTTCAGACATCTGGTAAGGATGCTTTTTGGGCACCTCCCTAGCGTGGTTCTTCGGGCATGTCAGACTGGGAGGAGACCTTGGGAAAGATCCAGGATACACTGGAGAGACTATGTCTCATGGTTGTCTAGAAGAGGAGGTGGCTGTGGAAAGAGATGTCTGGACCTCCCTGTTTAAGCTGCTGCCACTGCAACCCAACTTCGAAACAAGGAGCTCAATGGATGAATGGACAAACATTAGTAAACAAATATGTTTAAAAAAAAAACAAAAAAACCCTTAAATAATAGTTTTAAAATATTTGTCAATCTATGATGGAGGAGACCTTAAAAATAAAAGCCCAGTTTAGGGGACTCATTTCAAGTTTTGAAGTGTGATTTTATTAAAGTGACATGTGCATCATATTCCCCTCAAGTCTCTCCAAATGAGTAATTTAATGTCTGGCCAAGACATGAGGTTTCATGATGTCCGTGTTAAAACACCAGCAGAACCAGTTTCTGGTTCTTTAAAGACCCAGTAACTCCACTCAAATGTGCTGCAAGTCCCCTGCCTCCATGACTTGATGTGATTAATCAATCTATGTTTACTGTGAAATCATATTGTAATTTATAGACGTATAATGTGTGTGTGTGTGTGTGTGTGGGGGGGGGGGGGTTCCCCTTGGAGTTCTCACCATATCTCTTTCTCCACAAATCTTCATGTCTTCTTAATTAAAAACACCTGTTCCATCCTGTGTCAGTGAGTCTTTTCAGGTCTTGGAACACCAAAGTCTGGTCCAAACTAAAGTCTTACTCAGCAGAAATGCCGGTCTGTTTCACTGCATGTGTGTTTTAATTCTTTGTGCGCCTGAAGCTGGTGAAGAGCAGCAACAGTCGCACGATCCTGTGTTTCGGTTTCTCTGCAGACAACAATGTGCAGCGGCCTCGTGACAAGCCAGAGCAGCACCACACTCATTTTCACCGACTTCCTGAGAGCCTTAACTCATCCAGTCATAAAAATCACAACATTTCTAAAAACTTTTATCAATATAAACATGCACCGTTTGTGTTCTGTAAAAGCAGAATAATCATCTGAAGGAATGAAGCGTGGTCCAGAATGTTTTATCCTCATGACACAACAGATATTTATATATTTTATACTGAGCTCCTGCTTTTTTTATGTGACAGAACAATCTCTAACCAAAGTTTAAATAAAGACTGAAATGTGTTTGTTTCAGCAATAACTGATCACAGTCCAATATCTGGTCTCTCACAAAATGATTTTATTTTGTTGAACCACACAAATTGATATTTCATCCAGCCAACATGAAAACAATTTATTTTTCTATTTCTTGTACACAAATGGTGTTTTGAGTCAAGTAGGTTATTCGACACATTTGTAAAAAAATAAATAAAAAAAGAGACATGAGAACTTCATTTGTTTTCTCCGGATCACACTAGGACAACCTTTACCGCCATCTAGTGGTGAGAATAAAACACAGCGCGGAGGAGATCTGACCGTAATCTCGCTGCCAGCAGCGGCTGAAACGGGTCGAAGACACCGCTGAATCCACGGAGTCAAGGTGTCCAAGATCCAACCTAGAACTAAGTTCACCGAGGAGTAAAACCGTGGGGACAGCGGGTCCAACAGACTGGAGGAAGCTGTGGAGAAACATCGGGTCTTTTTGAAGGAATAATCTCAGATTACGAAGAGGAACTGTCGAGTTGGAGAGAAAATGAGCGCAGGTTTGTTTGTTTCGTTCAGCATCAGACGATGTTAGCTAGCTGTGGTTTCTAGGTAGTTGATGGATTTAACTTCTTAACTAAATCTGTTGTCTGTGTTTGTAGCTTAGCATGCTAACGGAAGCTAGCGCTAAGGTGGACAAGATGTAGAAACTAAATTATTAGATTAAGAAGCGGGAGGCTGTTTTTATCTCTTAATAATTCTCAGTTTGGAGATGCGCTATCCAAACTAATGTCATCAAGGATAAAAATGCAGTTTTACACACTTAGCAGAAAAGATATTTAAGGCTGTTTACATTCAGGGCCTGTGTCCTTCAAGGCCCGCATTTGTAGTCCAATCACGACGTTCACATATCCCACAATTCATTGCGCCACGGTTTGCAGGAAGTCTTTCTCCTTAACCAACAAAGTCCATGCTCAATAATCCAGGTATACAATCCCAACATTTTTTAGTCGGGTCATCTGGACAGTTTCTTTTTTCTTGTGCTGAAACGTTTCACCTTCCATCCAGAGTGCTTCATCAGTCAAGGAAACACACAACACAAAACTGATTATTTCCCCAACAGCTTACTCCAAAGTGGAACAAACCAGTTATGTTGGTGCTAAGATGAACCAGTTTGACATGACTGTTCACGAGGAAGAGGGCTGGCACCGGAGGAGGGGGCGTGCCAAAGAGACCATCTTGGCACCAACATAACTGGTTTGTTTGTCCAATTTAAGGAGTGTACTGCTTGGTGGGGAAACAGTTTACTTATAGAGCGCAAAATGTCTTTCTAAAAAAAGAAACTGTCCTGATGACCTGTGGGAGCATTATTGGATTTGGTACGTGGATGATTGAGCATGAACTTTGGTACCATAATGTTTAATTTTTTACATGTTAAAAATGACAAAATCTTCTGGGGTGGGAGTGGGGTGGCACTAAGTTTGTCACCTTTTTCATCCCTTGTGAGTTTGCAGGTATGAAATAAAATGAATGACGACACTTGTGAAAAGTCAGGGTTTATTGTAAAATACAGCTCGCAGGTCGGACCGAACAGCTGGACACACAAAGACAAAAAAAAAACCAACCTCTCAAACTAGCCCTGATCACCTTTATATCCTAAATGTACGTCAGAGGCTTTCATAAACATAACCTTGTTATTGCAAAGTTGTCAAGCAGACCCCATCTCTGGCCGTACGCCCAGACTTCTGATGCTGGTTCTCTTCCCGTAAGACACACATGTTCCTTTCCCGAAAGCGGAGGTCAGCTTGACCCAAAACTTTCCCCAATACACTTCTGTAGTTTGAAGTAAAGCTTTAAGGTAAACAAAAATGTTCAAATACCAGTATCAGGTGATCACATTTAAATATTATTGGCATTTAGATGATAATCAGACATTTATTTGTCTCTTACTGAATAAAATGTTGTTCCTTTGACTTGGAACAGTTCTGATCCACAGAACATCAATCAACAACACAAGTGGTGTATGAGTGAATATAAAGTTGTATTCAGTCCATATTGTCTGTGTTTCCTGCAGATGTTCAGCAGACTCTGCTGATCAGAGGAGATGCTCCTGAGGAATGGAGGCCTGATGTGGACCAGCAGGACCCAGAACTCCTCCACATCAAGGAGGAAGACGAGGATTTCTGGACCAGATTGGAGGGAGAGCAGCTCAGTGCGAAGGAGGAGACTGATGCCAGCAGGTTCTCATTCACTGCAGTTCCTCTGAAGAGTGAGGATGATGAAGAGAAGCCTCTGTTTTCACAGCTTCATCAGCAGGATCCAGGGCCCCTCCACATCAAGGAGGAACAGGAGGAAGTCTGGACCAGTTTAGAGGGAGATCAGCTCAATGTGAAGGAGGAGACTGATGTCAGCAGGTTTTCATTCACCACAGTTCCTCTGAAGAGTGAGGATGATGAAGAGAAGCCTCTGTTCTCACAGCTTCATCAGCACCAAATGGAGGACAGAGATGTTCCAACCAGCAGCTCAGCTGACCAGATGAAAGTAGAAGCTGATGGAGAGGACTGTGGAGGAGCAGAAACCATCAGGAACCCAGATCTAAATCCTCATGGAGATGCTTCCAGCTCTTCAGAGACTGAAGTCAGTGAGGATGATGAAGAGGACAAGGATGGGAACAGTCCTGACTCTCAGCTGGAACACTTGTCAGACTCTGGGTCAACAACTGAGGACGGTGACAAAGACTGGAAGGAGAGCAGAGCTCCTGAGTCAGCTGTAAACTCTGTCAACAAATGTTTCAGCTGCTCTGAGTGTGGTAAACAATTTCTGCACAACCAGTCTCTTCAGAGACACTTGACATGTCATTCAACAGGAAGACATTCAAGTTGTTTGGATCAGAAGAAAAATGTAGAGTCATACTGGAAAGTCCAGACAGGACCAAAATCATTTAGTTGTGATGAATGTGGTAAAATATTTTACAGAAAAGCACATTTAGAAATACACATGCGAGTCCACACAGGAGAGAAACCATTTGCATGTGAGCGTTGTGGACAAAGATTTAGTGAGAAAAAAAGTGTAGTCTCACACATGAGAGTTCACACTGGACAGAAACCATTTGAATGTGAGTTTTGTGGACACAGATGTAGCCAGAAAACAAATTTAAACAGACATATGCGAGTCCACACCGGCCAAAAACCATTTGAATGTGAGATTTGTGGACAAAAATTTACCCGGAAGTCCAGTTTAAACATTCACACGAGAGTCCACACAGGACAAAAATCATTTAAATGTGAGGTTTGTGGACAAAGGTATACCCATAAAAGTAGTTTAATCCCGCACATGAGAGTCCACACGGGACAAAATCCATATGAATGTGAGTTTTGTGGACAAAGGTTTAGGCAGAAGTCAAATTTAAACTTTCACGCAAAAGTCCATACTGGACAGAAACTTCTTAAATGTGAGTGTTGTGGACAAAGGTTCAGCCATGAGATAACTTTAAACTTACACATGACTGTCCACACGGGACAGATACCATTTGAATTTGAGGATTGTTGACAATTGTTTAGTCATTTAAATTTATTTTTTAAACTGTGGCACAGTTGGTAGAGTTGTCCCCCAGCGAGAAGGTTGCTGGATCAAATCCTGGCCTGGGACCTTTCTGGGTGGAGTTTGCATGTTCTCCCCTGCATGTGTGGGTTTTCTCTGGGTCTTCTGGTTTCCTCCTGCAGACCAACAACATGCATGTTAGGCTGATTGGTAACTAAATTGTCCCTAGGTGTGAGTGAGAGAGTGAATGATTGTTTGTCTCTGTGTCCCTGTGATGGACTGGAGACCTGTCCAGGGTGTCCCCCGCCCCTCGCACAGTGATTGCTGGACATGGGCACCGGCGACTCCCGCGACCCACAAATGGAAGAAGCGGGTAAAAGATAATGGCTGATTCAGTTATGTCGTGGAAAAACTAAAACGTCGATTCACATTGTCATATTTAAAATATGCTTTTATTTTGAAATTCCCAAGGCACGTCTGTGTCACCATTTCCGTGCGCGGCTGTGCTCTGCAGCCGCCTCAGCAACATGACAGACGAGGCAGAAAACACAGATGATGACATTCACTCTCCTGCTGGATTTAAATCAACTCTGTGAAAATATTTTGGATTCCAACAGGACGACGGCTCAACAGACAAAACTCACGCCGTGTGCAACAGGTGACAGCGTGAATACAAATAGTGGGGGGGGGCGGGGGGACACAAATTTGGCCGTTCACCTGAAGAAGAAACACGGCATTGACAGCCATGTTATGCAAGCTCAATACCTGATTGTTTCTTTATAGGTGAAAGGTCATCGGGGCACTTTTAAGTTAACTGGTTTAAAAAATGCACTTAAACATGAGAAATGTGAGACTATACTGAACACGTCATTTATTTTTATTTTTTCATTAATTAAGATAAAGACGTTTTTATTTAAATGCCTGGTGCCAGTAATAGAAATAAAATGGTTAAATCATATTTGAATTGTTTTTGTAAATGTATATGTAAATGAGATGGGCATTTGATATCACAACATATCGATCGCAGACTCGTGAATCCAATAGAATTGAAATCGTATCGTGACTGACTGTGATATCGAGAAAAATCGTATCGTCATACAAACAATATAATATCGTATCGTGGTAAAGCTGGTGATTTACACCCCTATTCTTTAATCCCCCAAAACTCTTCAGCTTCCCTCAAATTTATTATAATCTTTGCGTGTTTAGCTTGATCAGAACAATTAATGACTTATGTGATGAATAAAATGTGTTTCTCTGCTGTCAGTGGGATATTCTCTGATTAAGTTTACTTGTTTGTGGGATTTGAGTCTGTTTCACCCGATGATCCATTTTCATCATCACTCAACAACTTCTGCTTGTGTTTTTAGGCATTTTAAATAGTTTTTATAGCCCTCTATCACAACTTACATCCCCCACATGTGTTGGCCCAACAGATGCAGCACTTTCTTGTGCCTATTCCTCAAATTTATGTTCTTCTCCACGCTTTGGACAGCTCTGCTTCTTTATACATTTTGCTGTTTCGTGTCCATAATGTTTACATAAAAAAAAAACAAGGTGTGCATTTCCACTAGAGTTGCGATTTTTGGCTCGAGTCAAAATTATGTTCTTGATGGGCGAGCCGGGTCGGACCCAGGCTTTTGATGCCGTTTTAACGCTCGGGTCCAACTGGCCGGATGAGAAAGGTTAAAGATAGTCCGTCGGCTGCGTGCGTTTGCTGACCGTTAATAACTATAATAACTATCATAATCTGCTGACTCTTGTTAATAAACAAGAAATCTTATATCTTCCTTTCTTTGAAATACGTTTTTAAAACTCATGTCAAATTGATTTGCTTACAAAAGCAGTAAATGCTTAATTTAAAAAAAAGTTTTGTTTCAGGTTCGGGCCTCTAATTACAGTTAATTGGTCGGATCGGTGTGTGAAAAAAATGATACTGGCTCGGGCTGGGTCTGATTTTTTTAGGCCCGAATGCAACTCTAAATTTCCACCACCAACTTGTATGAAGTGTGGGTCAGAACCTCTATAATGGTCCACGTTTATCTATATTATGCATAAACACAATTTGATCTTATAAGTACGAATCAAATTTGGTGTGTCTTATTTGTTCAGTCCAGTAAAACATTAAGTATTAATTTGTTTCATTTAGTCACAGAAAATGGAAGATTTATTTTTCATTCAACCTTTACACAGGTTAATCCCTTTGAGCTTCGGGGACTCATTTAAGAAAGAACTGAACTTTTACAGAGGGATGACAACAGTGGATAACAATGACAACAATAGGCAATCATAAAAAAGGCATACAAATTTAATTAAAAAATTTTTTTTAAATAAAATGTCAACCAAAAGGACAATCAAAAGGAAAAAGTAGTGAGAAAAAAAAAAGCTAGACTGAAAGGCGGTGTGGAAAACTAAAAACAGAAGATGGAAGATAACAAAGAGTCAGGGTGGCTTCTGGGTAATACCAGATGGCTAGGCCTCAGACTGACGAAACCTCTTGGATGAGGGGCGAAACGTTTCTTTTTAACAAAAAAAACGAAGTCCAGATGACATGATTCAACCTTTTTTGTTGTTATATACCTGGATGACTGAGAAAACAAACTTTGTGTTTTTGAAACCATTAGTGAAAAGGCCAGACTTCAGGGGTATCTGAGGCAGGCTTGAAACACAAGAGTCAGGGTGGCTTCTGGGTAATACCAGATGGCTAGGCCTCAGACTGACGAAGTCTCTTGGATGAGGGGCGAAACGTTTCTTTTTTTAACAAAAAAACGAAGTCCAGATGACATGATTCAACCGACTGAGAAAACAAACTTTGTGAAGATGGAAGATATATTTAAAAAAATAAAATTTAAGAATAATTTTACTGGCTGAGGTACATGTGCTTTTTATTTGTCCAGTCTAGTGAAACAATTCAGTAAATTTGGTTCAGAGTTTCATGCAACATGTAGGCTGTTGGTTTTGTTTTTCTTGTGTCACTCGTTCAGTAATTTGTTGACGGTCCCTAAAAGAACCACTGTGTTGGAGGAGGGAGCGCGCGGAGGAGATCTGACCGTAATCTCGCTGCCAG